CACTGTAAAAATGGACGAAAGGAGTAGAACTTGCATGAATATGAATTGGAAAAAAAAAAAAAATCCGCTAATGTATTCGTATGGATTTTTTCTCATGATTCATTCAACAATGGTTTCTTAATGATGTCTTGCCACTTAACTAATCGATTTTTTGCTTTCTCCACCTGAAAAAAAAAGAAGGATTGCTCAGTTATGCAGTACAAATAGACATTGAGCTAAAACACAAGGAGGAAAACTATTTAATGTTCTAAACATTAATAAATGACTCCAAACATTTAATTTTATTAGTAAATTTTTTAAAAAAAGTTTCTTAATAACTTTAAAAATAAAACTTGCATACATTTAAATTACAGTAATTCATAATAAAATCAAACTTTTACCACAACAATATTCAGAAGATACTTGAAGTAAAAGGGAACACCGGCCTTAATTGCCTAATAATTTTATACTAGTATTTCTTTTATGTATGAAATGTTGTATATTATTAATTAATAGAGTAAGTATTAAGTATTTGAATTTTTTTGTTTCGAGAATGTTAACTTAATCAAATATCTTACGTTTGAATCTCAGATATAAAAAAAAGTTTGTAGAAAATGTACCTCTTCTTCCCAATTGGTTGAAAAAGTGGCCCATACTAAGATAAGAGTTTGCATTGCTGTTCCACCAAACATGCCCAGCCATAATCCCTACATATTTTTCCCAAGTTAATTAAACAAATTTGTTTTAATTTCAATAATGGAAACTAAAATCTGAATAACCTTTTATTCATTTGTCCATGTTTTTTCAAATGATTTTACTAAATAAGCAAATATCAAATATCAGATAAATAAAATATTTCTACGAAAACAAAGAAAAAGTATAGTGAGGAGAAAAATAGACATACCTTAGCTTCGAGTTTGAAGTGAAACCCAAGAAGAGCACCCAATGGAATACCAACTACGTAGTAACATCCCACGTTAACATATGCCACAAAACCTTGCCATCCACACCCAACCGCCACCCCTTCAATATGAGAATATTTTGTTTAGATGCTCGAACTAAGTCAGAATTAAAGGGAATTCATCTCTAAATATTAGTACCATTTTTCACCTTCAATTCAAAAATTCCTTTTTCTAATTAATTTCAACTAAATATTTCCCTCCTCTATATTATTTGTCTAGTTCTAAATAGTCTTAATTAAAAAAAATACTACACAGGGTACTGTCTTCTATAAAATATTTGTCCTGTTCTCCTTGTCAAATCAATTTTTTTAAAATCTGTGTTTAGCATGTATATCCAAACAAAAGTCACATGCAGTGTTCTTTCTTCTTTCTATTGATGAATACGTGTTGTTTGTCCTTACATGTCTGCGTCCAATATATCTACAGTAGTTTTTGTTTGAAATTTTGCAAAAAAACTGTGCAACCTCTCTTTCGTTGAGTTGTTTTCACAAAAAAAGTAGAGAGTACATATATTTTGGCCTAAAACATGATTTCTTAATTACTATAAATGAGGATATTCCAATTAATAGTGTAACAAAGTTGAAATATTTTTTATGTAACGAAAAATAGTTCAGTGACTGATCTGATGTAGTAAAATAAAAATTAAATTAGTACTATTCTTGAAAACAGAAGAAAAGGTTGATGAAGGACTGACCAGATAAAACAGGCTGAATGCCATTAAGAATTATAGAGGCAGCCAAGAGTGGTGCAAGTTCTGAAGTTGCTTTAGCAATAGTTTCGCCTCCAGTGAATGCATAACTCATCACATCGCGAAACATCATCACTATTATGGCTGCCACTACAGCAATCACAAATGAGCTTAATGTCACCACCAAAACTGAAAATGAGGCCGATTTCGGATGCCCTGCTCCCAACTCATTGCTCACCCTCACACTGCAATTTTTAAAAATTTAACCTCATCACTCTTGGAATAAATACTGTGAATGTAATTGAAAAGGAGAAAAAAGGCCTAACTATGATTTTGAATGCCTTTTTATCACAGGGGCGGATGCAGAGTTTAAAGGTAACAAGTTCAATGCTAAAAATAACGAAATTGCAATAAATAATAGGTTTAAAAATATAATGGATTTAATACAAATATCTCGAAAGTTAAACTCATAAAGCAAAATTTCTGAATAGATAACTAACCTTGCTGCTGCATTGAACCCAGCAGCTATCATGAACACCCATCCAAGAATTGTATTACTGCAAAACAAATTCCATTTCATCAGGACATTAATCCAAGAGAGGAAAATAAAATTAATTGATAACAAACAAGATATTCACTAACCAAACAGCTAGAGAGTCTAATGCCACTTCAGGATTTGGAAGCAAACCAGCAACTAAAACTAAAATCTGAAAGTACCAAGTCTCCAAGCACAACATCACAGATGAAGCAGCTGACAACTTATAAAAATCCCACAGCCCTGAAAACGCTTGCGAACTAAATCCATTCCACGTTTTCTTACATTTATCGCTCTGCAATATGTACATAAATTGCGCAACGACTACTATCCACCATGAAATACTTAGAACCATTGCTCCTCCGAATAATCCCCACTTGAATACATAAAGCACAATCCATGTTAGGAAAAGATGTAGGACTAATGCGGCTGCTGCTATATACGCACTAGGATTCACGATGCTTTGGGCTTGCAAGAACTTTTGTATGGGGAAATTGGCAGCGTAAGCAAATATTTGAGGAATTAAACCATAAACGAATAATGCAGCTGCTGATGCAACTTTCTCTGATTCTCCAAGTAAGATTAAAATTGGCTTTGAAAATAAGTAAGCCACCATAATCGGTATTCCAGATAACATAAGCAGAATTGTCGATCTTTGAAGATATATTCCCAATGTTTCATACTTGTGAGCTCCATATGCTTGTCCACATAGTGTCTCCACTGCACTCCCCATCCCTAACTGCTCCAACAAAATCACATCATTACGTCTTACAACCATTACTATTGTTCAGTAAAATTGAAAACTATCCATCCCAATTTGTGAGTTAACTTTCAAACAGTTTTGCTTAGATACTTTTTATGTAGTTATTTTATTGGAGAAACCAAAGATTCTATGTACGAATTCATTGTCAATTTTTGAATCTGAACAATAAATTGAGTATATGAAATTCGAGCAATCCAAAGAAGCTCTGGTCATATGGTAGGTCAATTAACAACCAGAAAAGGTAATCCTACTGCAATTTGTACAAGTGTAAAAATAGTACCATGTAAAGTATAAAGTTGACACAAATCTTACCATGACGCCATAGGCCAAGAGTTGAATACCTTCATTGCCAAGTGAAGCAGCAGCAAGTTCAAGATTACCAAGATGACCACAGAATATTTGAGTAGACATAGAAGTAACATTATTGAGCAAATAAACAATGATTGCTGGAGCTGCTAGTCGAAACAGATTTCTGAATTCAACGGCAGATGCCCGTCCAAGCCGCTGAAAATGCGACAATCTTGTGTCGGACAATATGTCTTCAAGCTCAGAGCTTACATGTTCCACTGCTGCTTCTTTCTGTTCTAGTACTAGTAAAGGTTCACTTGGCCCCTTATCTTGAAAACACTCATCCATGTTTTCAATAAATCAAAGTCCAAGATGTCAATAGGTGAAAAACTAAACGATGAAAACCCGTTGGTCTAAGCAATCTCTTGCTCCCACTAACAACTTCACTAGACTGTTAGGCGTTAGCCATTCCATCTGATTTGAAATAACAAATAGTCTAAAAGTAAATCATTGAACTATACGGTCAAAAGTTTGAAATCTTTCTTTATTTATTCTACTTTTTATATGCACTGAACTTATTACACATATTAGTACTATTTTATTACTCTTTTAATAGCACCTACCGATGAAAGGAAAGGGATATGTATGTGTACCAACAGAATAGCGACAATCATGACATATTAATAGTTTGTCTCACTTCAATTACTAGTAATATATTTTCCTTGCCTCAATCACTTTAATTGCAAGTAATAATAATAGTATGCCATTACACTTTTTAAATTTCGAAATATATTATCTTCTCCTTCCTTGTAAGTAGGGAAAGAAAATTCAAAGGAAGAGAATATGAATGCAATAAATTGTTAAAATGATTATGAATGTAGAAAAAATGTGTATCACAGCAAAGACTAAAGGCGCATTTCCCTTAGAAGGTGAATACACAAAAGAAGAAAGTAAAGTAAAACACCATTAATATTTATTCAGGGCAAAGAGATAAAAGTTAAGTATTATTTTGAAATTGACTATATGAATCATTTTGAAAGGAAATTGAACAGAGGAATAGTACCCGTTAAATATTGGGTTCTCTATTTCAACTTGCAGCAATTCTGAGCAGAGCAATGGCGCTTTTTTTGGTCGAAAAAAAAAGATTTGAACGAAAATTTAATCCAACTCGTTCATTTGTCACCCAAACAAAATCAACCTACTATGCTGCAGCCATTTGTTTTTTAAAAAAAAAACTAGCTGCGGAAATTTGAGTCGTTCATTGGAATTCTGTTAAATATGATTAAATAAGAAATCAATCAGCAACCCTAAATATGCGCAATATAATCCGGGATAGAATGAACAAATAAATATAAAAAGATGCACTGTACACTACTGATCTTAACCAAGTGACAATTATTTTGATCAAGAGAAATAGAATCCGGACTCTCTAAATTAAATGTGTATTACCGTAAAAAGAACCAAGATTCTTATTCCTTATAGATACCAATGCAATATCTAGATTAAAAAACAAAGCATCAGAGCGTTTTTTCTTATTAAAAATAAATTCTCAGTGTAGACGGTAGCGTCGATGCAGAATCTTACCCCTATCTCATATATCTACATTCAGATCATTTATAAGGTAAAACACAAGTAAATATCCACATCAGCATAATTAACTATCTCAAGAAAATGGTAGTAATTGACACTTCATCACAAGATAAATTACAAAGATAGTGTAATAGATCTCACATTGGCAACTCTGTCTAGGCAATTAAATAAGAAGATGATAAAAGAGCACTGAAATTATCACTTGGAAGGTGCTGCAATTTGCAATACCTTTATCTACTGAACAGAAATAGATGGTACAATTGTGATATTGTATTAGTTCTGATGCATAACTGAAAACAAAAGAAAAATGACAAACAAAACATCCCAACCCCTAGAGACCTACCTAATGCATTAGCTAATGACACAATAATTTCTCAGGACTTTGAATTTCAGACATATACAATACAAGACAGGTTTTTTCTAAGTGGAAATAAATAATTACATGGAATTCAACCTCCTCCTGAATTACTTTTACAAAATTTCCTCATTACGCAAGAATGAGGAACAAATAGGGTCGGAAAACTCAAACTTGGAATCTTCTCCGAGTGGGATTCTTACTCCGGATCATGATTTTCCAGCTGCTTTTGTACACATTAGACTTGAGGAAAATCAGAACCTTCAGCACTATTAACTTAAAGATATTCGTTACTTGTATCATCATTTCATGAGACTTGCTCGCAATAAAGGTTAATTGAGCAGGAATGGCAGCATTAAGTATAAAAGAGGCTTCCAAGAGCCGTCAAGGCCAAGAGACGCAGATGAGACCCGATGCTTAAGCTGTTCAGACCTGACAAATTAGCAAGAACATATCAATGAGAAGTACATCAACCTTAATAGAAAGATAAAACAATGAAGCCTTTTCCAACTGACAAATTCAAGTGAATCTGCAACTAAGTACAGATTCATTTAGAGTAGAGATAGGTGCCATTTGAAGTCTTATTTGTTTGTCAAACCTTTTCCTTGATCCTCCAAAGTAGCTTTAATTTTGCTTTAGGACAACAGTGCTCAGGACATACTATAAATAGTTTTTTTTTTATTTATAAATAGTACTCCCTCTGTCCCATATTAGATGGGCACTTTCCATTTTACATGGTAATTAATAGATTGATCAACTTTACTATTTTGCCCTTTGTTCATATTAATTAGCCTCTTGAAAAAAAGAAATTCTTGGCCTTCAAAATTAGTATAAGCTTCCCAAAGCCATAGTAATTGTAGGGGTAAAATGGAAAAAAAAAAAATTAATTCTATCTTGATTTAGTAAGTGGTCAAGTAATATGGGACAAATACTTTTAAACTTTAGTAAGATGCACATCTAATATGGGACGGAGGGAGTACATATTAAAAAATGGTATCCTTCTGTCCCTAATTACTTGTCCAATTTTCCCTTTTTACTTGTCCATTTTGACAAATCAAAAAAGGATAAAAGAAATTTACCTATTATACCCTCAATTAATTAATTATGAAAAGGTAGAACTTCTTGAAAATCCTAACTTTTTAATTCATCCACTTCATAATTAATAGGGATAAAATGGTAAACTCACTACGCCAATCATTGTTTTCTTAAAAAGTGCTAATTCAAAAGTGGACAAATAATTAGGGACAGAGGGAGTAAAAAGTAACTCAATGGGAGTGGAGGCCTGGTGTATCTTCACTAATAAAATGATGCTTCATGATGTTCTACATATCCATCCTTCTTCCCTTATGCATCCATGTAAACATATTAATTACCATTGGCCAACGAAATTCTTGATCTCACACCAGGGTATTTCAAAGAAGTTACTCCCTCCATTTCTATTAGTTTTTCTGGTTTTGACTTGACAATAGTTTAAGAAATTAAAGAAGCTTTTGAATATTGTGGTCTTAAAGTAAAGATATGTTGAATGTACTAAAATACCCTACAATCTTGAGGTCTTAAAAATGCCACGTGGAAAGTTAGAATTGAAGAGTGCCAAAAAGGAAAAGAGACATTCTTTTAAAAAAAAGGGACTAAAAAGGAAAGTAAAACAAATAAATTGAAACGGAGAGTAAATTTTCATGTTTCTTTCAACTAAAATATAAGATAATGATTTTCCACTTGTATAGCAGGAAATATTATGTGGAAAAAATATTCCAGTGTCCTGTTACTTGTGAGCATAAGTTCACTTTTCTTTACAAATATTCCAATTCTTACTCCAATCACTTGCTTCAATCAACATTTAGCTATTGTTGCAACTTCTAATACTCAAAAATATTGCCCAATCACGATCCTTGTATCTTATACAACTACACATATAACTCAACCCCAAAAACTATTTCATGAAGGGAGGCTTGCCCCAAACAATATAAGGAGACAACAACTCATTCTCTCAACCGATATGGGAGCTAACACTCCCCTACATGCTCAAGATTCAAGTAGAACATGGATCACGGAGGCACAACATTGAGAAACACAACAAGGATCGATGGGTCTGGCTCTCATACCATGTCAAGATATGGTAACTGGCCTAACTTAATCCCAAAGCAAGCTCATAAGAAAAGGATTGTCAAAAGTCATATAAGGAGACCACAATTCATTCCACAACCAACGAGGGACTTAACAATGATAAATGAATCCATCAAGAAATATGATGTGAAACTGAAAACTATTTTAGCCTCCAAATTTTCTTTAACCCCTCATGTCCATATCCGGAGAAGTCTAAACTTATTATTATTATTATTAATAGAAGCACAAAAAGAAACCAGCATACTATGAAACTGTAAATGAGACAGGTAAGATAGTCTTACTGATCTGGCCAGATGCTGCCGCAGGAAGCGCAGGAATTTTCATAGCTGCAATAGCAGAAAGTCGTAATAAAGATCAGCAGTTAGTTATGTAAGAAGATAAACTTTGGTCACTGGATATAAGAAAAAGCAAGAGATGTGACATACTTTTATTGCATGACGAAACTGGTAAGTGAGAGAGAGATGGCCAAGGGGCTGGAATGTTATCGTTTAAATCACAGACGAAGCTGATCCCCGAACTTTGGTCAAGTACAGCATCTGATGGTAGACTAGGCAAAAGACACCCAGAAACTACTCCCACAAGAAGAGCAAGAAAAAAACTAATTAATTAAGACCATCACAAAGAAACTGACATAGGCAAAATACATGATACTACACACAAGGACCCTCATCCAAAGGAGGAAAATTACCATGTACTAATTTGACAGTTTGATGCATGTAGTAATATGACAAAAACAATGTTTTCCAAGAAAAAATGTAGATTTCTTCTCTCAGGCATGAAACGACAGTATTGTAATTTCCAAACCCTATAGACACAGTCACTGTGGACTACTTTACGTTCAAAAGTTGCCTCCTTTGTCCAAGACATTGATCTTCAATAAAATACATCCAGTGCAATATTAACTAATAGTATTATTTTAATCCATTATCATGTAATTGAATATCTTAATTCTTAACCAACTTTTTTCCACGTCCCATAATTGAATACCTGTTACTTCAACATAAGTCATTTAGAGGAAGCAGGAGGTGGGGGAGTTTCAAAATTATATTTCTTTCGGTATAGCAGATGCTTCGAATTCTAGTGATAAATAAAGGACGGAAGAAAACACAGGGCATGGAGATGAATAAAAAAATACACAAGTACGTAAATTACCTTCGGGTGCGACTGTTGCAGTCATATGAAGAGAACCCAGAACGGATGGATATGACAAAAGAGAAATCCCAAGTTAGCTTGGTAGATTTGAAGGCAGCAAAATGCTCAAAAAGTGGCATTTAAATAATAACTTACCTTGCACAGAAAAGTCCTTGAGGCTAATGTGACAAAGTTTGTATATATTTTTGCTAACATTGGCTTTCTGTAACTTGAATCCAAGTGAAGCAGCACAATCCAAAGCTTGCAAGTTGGTTACAAAACTCTGCCTTTGTAAGTGAGAGACATAGCTCTCAGTGGTACTACAGCATGCTGTTTGGTTATTCATCCCATCTCCACAAGCTTTTGTAACATGGCTCGTATTTGGGAATACCAGAGGGCACACTGAAGGGGAGGAAAACAGATTGCTAATTTTATAACTATATTATACCCAGGATAGAAAATGACAAAAAACAATACAAGATATTCTAGTCCCTTTAGCAAGCATGACTGCATGAGTCCATGACAATTTTGGTAAGATGAGTAGCTAACACAAGTGATCACAAGGATAATCATATAAGTACAGACATGCTTGGTTGGTGTGACACTTGAAGGACATGAAGAGATTAACTAAATGAACAGGTACTTGTCCAACCTGGTTTAGGATTAAAATGGAGTGGCTTAAAACTAACTTAGAGAACATTCCAAGTAAGAAATGACAGGAAAGGAAAAATATGCCTTCCTTCTCCATTTTTTCTCCTTCAAACAGCATGAAGGGCAATTAACATTTGACTAGGAAGTACACAGTCAGCGGCATTTGCTCTCTCTCTCTCCTAGAGCCCAAACTACTGAAGAACTATTCACCATTAATTACCAAAGAAAATTAATGATAAAAAGATTTATAGTCGTTAATAGGAAAGTGTAATTCCATTGATTTATAACAAATACCAATTCTAGACTACATATTATAGACATCCTAAGAAGGTTATTTTCTTAGAAAAAGCTCCCAACTAAATTGATAAAAACAGATGTCCACCATAGCCCCGTTTTGAAAATTGCAACCATGTTCAATCAACTATACCTCAACCCAAATTAGCTGGAGTGGCTATTTAGTTATGCTTACAATACACCACTTCACGTGTGAGCCTGATTCTTTTACATGATCCGATCATGTGGAAATTCTTTTTTCAATAATGGATGGTGGTGAGACTCAAACTGAGGACCTCTATCTGCTCTGGTACTATTGATAACATGTTGAAGTGTGTGATCATCTCAACTAAAAGTTTAAGCTATTCAAGAGACGCCCTTTATTTACTAATTATGTTTCCAACACGTGAAAAATATGCCTATTCTCCTGTTAGCACATTCATAGCAAAAGGTCAGTAGAAAATAGAAAACCATCTCAAGCTACTGTACATGCTTCCTCATATGATCCTTTTCATCATCAATGAAAAACTTAACATATATAATGAATAAGCAATGAGCATAAGAAAAAGGACTTGTATGTATTCCTCACCTTTATTATTTTTGCAATTAGATAGTCCTCTAAGAACATCTTTTGCACCATTAGGGTCAAGTTTACTTGCCAGCCAACGGTGTACAATACTTCTGCAATCATTAACCCTAGTTGAGTGGTCAGTCAGCACCTCAGCACCTTCCGTGCTCAGAAGATCATATGCTTTTAGTGCAAGTTTTTTAGCAGCTTCTGATATAGCATTTTGGCAAGTTTGCTCACAACATTCATTCACAAGGTCAATCTTCCCACAGGCAGCAAGTAAGCTAGATGAGTCCACTGTGGTTTCAAACTCATGAACATCTTTGACTGGGCAAGAACCTTCTGTCAGATTTGATGGATGGAGAGAGCATATGTGCTGTAAAGTATCATTGGCACCCTGGCTCACCAGAATTTGCTGAAAATCTGAAAGGCAATGCTTTGCAAGTGTGCCATTTAAAGCAAGCATATTTGTGAATTTACTAGACTGCCCAATAAGAATAACAAGAGTTGCTTCCAGTTGTGGGCAACACATGACATTAGCCAGATACTGCGCAAATGGAGCAACACAATCAATTGATGTCACACCCATCATTCTTTCCACAGCATCAAATTTCAGCGTACAGAGTCCTGAAGAGTATGAAAGGAAGAGTCACTGACTGAGGTGACAGCAAATCAAGATCTATCTGAGCTGTATTTAGTTTATCAACTCTAAATTGCTCTACAATTTGAAGTAGCCCCAAATTTTAAAATTTTGATCTTGCTCAGACCTAAGAGATTATCATTTTAATTAAATACTAAACCAGACCCGATAATTTTGGTAAAGTGCTGTTTGTAAAAGGTGCCCACGGAGAAGGTGCCAGAAGAGGGAGAAAGGGCTGAGGAGAAGCAGTTGGGGAGATCTCAGGCAACAAAGTGTCCTCCTTTCTGTCCATGTTTAAAGAACCCTTGAGAGAATTCACTGAACTGCAACTGGAGTCCTGGAGGTCTGGACAATCAGAAATTCCATCAGAAATAAGAAATAGCATTGATTCCTTTTAGGAGATGACCAACTAAAAACACTTACAGCCAGCGAAGGCATATATACAGTTACATATGGATCAAAGCTACAAGCACCATTGGGGCTTGTGCTCCCATGCACCAAATGGAAAACAAGTTAAATGGCAACAAGAAACCACTAGAATCTCAGATAATATAGTCACCCAAAGAAAACAGTAGTGATGTAACTTGACATCTTCAATGTCAAATGGGATCTTGAAGATTTAGAAAAGTTCTATACCTAGAGAAACCAGTATTTCCAGAACTTCATGTTTCACTTTGCGTCACTGAGCTGGCTAAATCTTACTGTCCGCAACAGAAACTGCCTCACATTTCACTTTGTCAAAATTTAACCCATCAAACCATTCTATACTTGCTTTTAGCCACATTATATGCTCTCATTCATTAAAGATTTCCACCATGGAATGTAGGGGTTGAAATTCCTAGTTTTAATTTTTAAATAATCCCTTTCCTAATATAGTTGTGATTCACAAGTCTTTAATTGATTCAAATACAAAGAGAGTCAAGGGATTCTCGTCTTACTGAAGCGGAAGCCTATGGAAGATTAGCATCATCCCAAAAGGAAATCTGTTGGCTCATCATTAGTCGATTTGTGGGGTGCACATACCCTGAAAACAACAACCAGAACAACTACTAGATTGCTTCCCTACCCCCAGAATAGCTTGATGGACAAATTACTCCAAAGCATGCCCAACATCAATCCCCTCATACTCCTGCACAATAGGAGCGGATTGAGTCGGCATTCATCTATGAAGAGTGGTCCCCGGATTGCTTTTTGATAATCAATAAGTAATGTAGGCTTTGGTACATTTATAATAGTGATCTTAACTCTTAGCAACCTAAATGCAATGCAGAAACTTCATTGTCTGCAAAACATCTGAAATGTAACAACAGAGAATAGGATTTTTTTTATTTTTAATCGTGTTTTTCCATGCCTCGTCACTCCTTCTCAATTTCAATGCCAATTATCCGAAAAAATGTTGGGAACCATGAAATATCCACAGAAATTATCATGGGTAGAATAACGAGTAAAAAAAGAAATAAGAACACCAAGATTTTCTACATGAAACTCCCTTCTGGACTAAGGAAAAACCACGGATCGGGACGAGCAAAATAATATAATCATAGTGAGATGTGAAACACTGAACACTCTAGTATCACAAAGACCTCGAAGATGTTACACTAAAAAGAAATGCACTTGTATCCTAATCTGGATCTGTATCCCCATATCTTAAAATTTAGATCATTAAGGAACCTACCTCTAAATCTGCACGATAACCACACCCAAATCAACTTAGACTTAATTCACTTATCACGAAAAAAAAAAAGAGAGTTCATACACTTAATTCATCTAAAGTACATGAATTTCATTTCCTTAGTTCATGAATTAAGAAGATAAATGTATTTGTTTGGAAGGTGCATGTACTTACTTATGGCTTTTGTGGAGGAGTAGACTAGAATTAAATGACGATTATGTATGATAGCCTAAATACATTGTTGTAGATCACCTAAATATATTTGAGCAGCTGAAAAAGAAAATCAGCTGCTTCGAAACATTAACCGAGGAGCTGAAAACATTTCATTTGGTGACAAATCCACAGACGAGCATTCAAATTGAAAATACATAAAAAGGAATTTAACCTCCAGCGTATCAACTCAAACCCTAGAGCAGACCTAAAGAAGTGCAGTTCTTAGAGTCCATACATCTTCCATCCCTTTACACAAAAAAAGCACTGACATAGCAGCAAGATAACAATTCCCTCTACTGGAAAGTCCCAATTTCACATTACAGTAATCAGTGAACTCGAATAAAAATTGTATTTTTAGGTCCAACTAACAGCATTTTCTTACTATAATAAACAGAAATTACCCAACACCCACATAAAGTAGAAAAATTAACACAAAACCCAAATAGATTTTTATCAAAATTGAGCAATAATAATTACAATAGCTACAAATCATCCAAAAAACAAGAAATCAAGTGAAAAAATAGCAAGAATACTTACAAAGCAGCAGTAGAAACACATGGAGAAGGTAAAGCTTGAAACTTTGAGAAACCCCACCTCTCATCCTTGCCAGTTTTTGAACCAAAAACCGAAATAGACCCAAATGTGTAATGAGTCAGTAGATTCAAGAAAACCCCCAAAGGAAGTAGAAGTAGAAGTAGAAGTAGAAGTAGAAAGAGAAGAAAAATTGTGAAAGTCTTTAAGTGAGAAATGATGATGGTTGTTAGTTAATTAATGTGAAGAAAGAGGGAAGTATAGTAGTGGGAGAGTGAAGAGAACTGGGGCAGCCATGAATGAGGTTGCTTAGTTGTGTGGGGACAAAAAGCAGTAAATAAAGGTATAGCTGGACAAATGACCCTACTTGTATTTAATTTCACATTGTAAAGAAAATTTGTGTGTGAAAACTGAGATATTGAGCATTAAATAAAATCCATCAACCGCCTTTCCTTTTTTTTTTTCTCTGTTACTTCCGATGTTAGCAAATACTCTAGCAATTCTTATTGAACATCAATAATGGTACAGTGATAAAATTGTTTTAATTTTAATTAGAGGTGTTTGATTTATACCTTGACGTAAAATAAATCTTGTTAAAAGTGTCTCATTTTCAAACATATATCATTTTTAATTTCATTCTGTATAGGAATGACAATGGAGCGGGGTGGGTTGAAGTGAGTTTTTTTAAAACTAATGCAGGGCGGGGCGGTTTGTGGGTACATGTGATTTTATGTGGGTTTAAACTTAATTTTAATTTTTACATATTATAAGAGTTATAGAACATTATTTATTAAGATAATTTCTTTAAAGCTTCTAAAATATTCAAGATAGTAAATAATGGTTCAATAAAAAATAATTCAATTTCTTACATGTTTCCCTATTGACCTCTAAAAAATAAAATTTAAGTCACTATCCTATTAAATTAATACAACTTAATTAAAAAATAATTTTATTTTTAGTATTAAGCTTAACTAGAAAAAAAAATATTAAAAAAATTATGCGGGGCAAATTCATGCATAGCGAGTCTATGTGGAGCGAGGCGGTGCGGGTTAAAAATGAAAAAAAGATGCTATACAAGGCGGGGAATTAAAAAATTTACGAGTTAAGCTCAACCCACCTTGCCCCGCACCGCCCCATTATCATCCCTATTCTCGCAGGTTCCATCCCTAATATATAAATACTTTTTAAGATATTAATTTGCACAACTTGTCTTCATTGATGTCATCACTATTGAAATTTTGTTGCCCTTAGCTAAAAAAATTCCTGCAACAAAGGAAGTGGTCCAACTACTTCAATTGTGAATTTTAACGCACTAAATTATAGGGATGATTCACAAATCATAAGAGTGACCTCCATGAGCAAAATTTATATTGTCTATTGGGCATATAATCACAAGTGATTTTTCTATCTAGGGAGAACTTTGCAATATTTTAACATATCATAGATAATAACATGTTTAATAGTCTATAAGTTATGTTACAACCGCAAAAATTTCATGTGTTATTAAAAAATCATGATGATCTAGCAAGACTTATTACTATTTATTCTACGTAGTGTGTTAACTTGATCATAAGTTATGATACGAAAATTATTTATACTCTTCAATTTTTTTGCAACTTTTTCCTCCAAATTATAAGAGTAATTCTAGTAGGTCACAAAATAATATTATGAATCTCCAAACTAAACGCGGATGTCAAATTATTATGGATAAATTACTTATATACACAAGTTTAATTTACTTATTCTCTATTTTTCTCTACCTTTTAAAAATATTACTTAAATCCCTTCTTTCTCTTAATTTTAAAAATTACCTGATACATAAAAGTCACCAGTCAAATCCACATTTACCACTCTCTTTTTCTCTCCTATTTTCTCTCCCTAAATTCACTCCAAATTCTTAGTAGTTACAAAATCTATATCCAAATTTGATTTTCAATAAGTTTAAACTAACAAAACATTAAAAAAAAACTAACCAAACATAAAAAATAAAAAAAAGCAAAAAATGTTTTCCATAATACCAAATACAAACCTTGTTTCTTTTTCATATTTTGTTCATACTAATCACGTCCAATAATAGTAAAAATTGAGTTAAAAGAGGTGTATTTCCTCTTTAATATAATCATATACGATTAAATGGATTTGTTGGAAACACTTCCTTAATTAACTTTAGGCTGATTTTTGATTAGTTGCATATTATTTGGTAATAATTAATATAATATTTAGAATTTTTTCATAATTTGAGTTGGTTATGGACTCTAACAACTAATCATTCGTTGAAAATTATTAGGATTCTTGTATTATTATTTAATCTTCTCATTGTCTCATAATAATATTAGTTTCAATTTCACCAAAATTTCAAACAGTCTAATATTTTCCTCTTTTTTCCTAGTATTTTTCATAATCAAATTTCTTTAATGGATTGTGTTTGTTCATGTATGTAATTGATAACTCAATTCTTATTTATTGTGATACATTTATAGATACACTCTATTTCAGCTTACATACATCCTTCTTTCACAACCTTATT